CGCCTGCCCTCAATGTTCTACACCTGCCCTAAATCTCAACCCACCCTAAAGTGCCTCTTATATATAGTGCTTCATGTCTTTTGCATCTCTTTCCTTATCTGCTTCCCTCCTATCTTGCCACGTAGCCATGCCCCCTTGTATTAGTTAACCCCCTTTTTATATAATTGTCTATATACTTAAATATAAAATCCTTTTGTAATTTAAAATGACCTGTCCTCATAAAAATATACATGTAAGGGATACATGTACAATTTGTAAGGTATTTTATTGCCCCCAGGTCTAACTTGGTAACAATAAACTAGTATTTTTTTGATCTTATTGCCAGACCATGAGCTGTACAAACACTGACTAATAACATCACGGGTATTGCTACAAGTACCTGCCAATCCCTGCCACGGGTATGGGTTTGGTGAGGGTAGTGAATGTCTAACCTGTACCCCTACCCACATGTACCCCTACCCGCAACCCACACGGGTTCTGAAACCTGTGACAATCACTAACATTTATTTAGATTGTGCTTTATATACAAGACTTTCACAAGTTTTAGGGTTTCATAGGTTTTTGCACCTTATCCCCCAATCAGGTTTCCTGAAAAAGGGACATAGGTTTCCCAGTCTCCATGTTTTCAGGTTTTTTGTGGTTTTCTGAGGTTGCCTGGGTTGAGAAACCTCCGGAAACTGAAATGCTCAATTCCTGATGTGTAAAAAGCGGTGCATGGGGATGATCCATCTGCATCATCATTGGAATGTTGATGGTGTATAGGTGATGAGCAGGGTATGTGGGGGTGTTGGAGGCAGATGTTGTGAATGCTAGGCCAGACTTGGGAGCAGGTGAAACGATGCAATCAATTTGCAACAAAATACGTGAGGTCACTATTTTTTTTCGACCTTCGGCCTCAGTGTTGTACAGGTCAGCCTGACTCGAGGTCAGAGACATCACGTCACTGGGGTCACGTCAACTGACTTGACGAGGTCAAGGGTCATGATGGGGGTCAGACCTTTTTTGGAAAGAGTATTGAAGCTCACGCCCATGTTTTTTTTTGTTGTTTTCTTGTTTTTTTTTGTTTTTTTTTTCCACTCATGTTTGAACATTGTGCATACTATGTTTGTTCATGATATTGAAACTTGTTGAGATATTGAAACTTCAGATTATCTTGACCTCCACTTGGCTTAGAATCTTGAAATTTTCAAAGAAGATGTATTTATGCATGTGTTATAGTACCATTATTAGGTTACTCCCTTTCTCTTATCATACAATATTCCCTCTCACTCCATTATCAGTTATTACTCATTTTCTAGTTTTCTCTTTAAATGATTGATCTTAGTTAGCGCATAACATACCCGGACTCGAGCGTTTAACTTGTATTATCCGAATGATGGCATTGTTTGCCTTGTTTGTCTAACCTAGCATAGCCAAACAATCCAACCAAATACATCGAACAAATAGCTATTAATCCAGTGACTCACAGAACAAGGAACTTAGCAGAAGGTTCTATAACCTTCCTCTATGATCTGGAATTAGTTGTAAAATGTATTTAACATGTCCTTAAGACAAGATGGAATTCATCCTTACTTTTTACCCAAAGACACAGTGTGACTTAAGATCTTGAGACAAGACTAAGTAGTGACTATACAAGTGTTTGGTAAAGCCTAGCGCTATCAAACTACTTAATCAGAAATCGTTAAAGTCTTCGTACTAACGTTTCCAATTAACGTCGCTCATCGTCAACATC